AAACCCCTACCGCCCACCATGAAAGCTGGAACGCCCACAAGTGGGCGGTAGGGACCAGGTTGACTACCACTGATCTAAGTTATTAATATTTCCTCCTTCCTCCAGTATCTCAAAACCCCAAAAACCCCATATATAGATAATGTGCACTTTTAAAAAATGAAGTCAGTTATACTTTAATTAGATTATGCCTTTTTGTTTATTTATATCTTAGAGGTGTAGACATGAAGCCAAATTATGAAATACAGACAAAGGAAATATTTCATTTTATGAACAAGATATTTTATATACAAAAGTTAAAGTTAATATTGTAAGACACGCTGTTCAAATGCAGTCTACTCTTTGGTGATTAAATAAGATCTAAAATGAAAAAAAAACCTCACCAATTATTGTGTCATGTATTTTCATTATTATTTTCCTTAAATGTAATAAACATGTTCAGTTCCGAAATAAAAAGACTGTGCATTTCAAACTTTCCTGAGAACAAATTTCATGTCCCTTAGTGGATACACTTGAAAAATTGCAAGATTCCAGGTTGTCCTCAAGTTATGATCACAATTTGAGCCCAAAATTTATGTTATTAAATTCGACAGTGGTTAAGTTTTACGACCTTTCTTGTCACAGTTGTTAAGTGAATCATTGCAGTTGTTAAGTTAGCGACACGGTTGTTAAGTGAATCTGGCTTCCCCATTGACTTTGTTTCTCAGAAGCTTGCAAAACAGTGTTTCTCAACCTTGGCGACTTTAAGTCCTGTGGACTTCAACTCCCAGAATCCCCCAGCACAGCTGGCTGGGGGATTCTGGGAGTTGAAGTCCACAGGACTTAAAGTCTCCAAGGTTGAGAAACACTGTTGCAAAAGGTGATCACATGACCCTGGAACACTGCAACCATAAATATCAGTCAGTTGCCAGATGGCCAAATTTTGATCATGTGATCATGGGAATGCTGTAGTGGTTGTAAGTGTGAAAAATGGTCATTGGTCACTTTTTTTTTTAGTGCTGTTGTAACTTTGAACAGTCACTAAACAAATGGTTGTAAGTTGAGCAGTACCTGTACTTTAGTTACAGATTATATTAATGGACATCTCAATTTGTTCATTTATGAATTTTCTTAGTTTAGAAACACATGCTGTGCAATTTTGACGGAACGTATATTTTCTCTATGACATTTTAATTCTGTTCACGTTTTACATTTGCGTCTTATTTAAAATACCCATTGGCTCAGTATATGACTCCTTTCTCATCTTACTTGAATGGCTCAGTATTTGCATTGTCAGTCCCTTCATTGAGATTGTTTTGCAGGATTTTCAACAAATTGAAAAGTTTACAAGTCTCCTTTGAATAAACTTGACTCCTAGTGACTTCATTGACATGCTGAAATGCCACTAATTTTTAAAAGATAAACACATAAATGACAGAAAATTTCACAGGGAATCTAGGCTACTCTCATCCTTTTCTGTTAGAAATTATTCCTATCTTTCTTTATCCTGTAAAGCCCATTGCCATAAATGCTCTGTGAGTATAGAAACTCAGGAGTTGCTGATTGTTGGAATGGGTGTCTCTAAGTAAGTTTTACTTCTAATTTTACGTGTTTTTCCTTGTGTCAGATTATCAGTTTATTATTATTTTTTTGAACGACCAATTTTTGATTCTAAATAATAAGCTCTGATTACCTAAATTCACTGTAGT